AACGCTTGCTCTCTAATGTCGGATTAGGCCATTTTACAGAATTCGAGGGAAAGGCAAGGAAAGTTGCAATGGGGAGTACAACTGCTAAAACAAATAGTAAGTGAAGTTTTCAAGTCACAATTTGGATGGCGCTTTGGATAGTTGATCCTTCTGGTTTTTGGATAGTTGATCCTTCGTAGGTCTGAGTAGCAGATGTGGGGGTCTTTTTTCAGGAAAAAACTAGCTTGTGCTTTAGGCACGATGTTATCCTCTGCTTTTGTTGAGCACCTGGGAGGTTTACCTCTGAGGTTCAGACTCTGCTCTTGTAAAGAATCTCTACATTTCTCTAATGGAAATGGAGGGCTTTGCCCTTTGCTTAAAAAAAATTTATGTTTGCACTAAATTGTTATCAATCAATCCAAGAATCTCCATACACTCTGCAACTATCAACTAATCATTAGTTTTATTTTCAACTTTCACACGCAGATTATTTTGGTTGAGTTGTTTAACTAACGCGTACTTTTCAATTTGACCTTACATGCTTGTGAAGTAATATATTTCATATTAATCTATATTGTTATTTTTTAAAAAATATTTTTATAACTATGTAGATGACATGCAAGCAACGAGAGGATATCCCCTCGAGGGATGAAAATACACATCCGAATAAACGGAAAAGTGTTTTCATTCCTTGAGGGAATATCCCCTCGTTTCGTGCATGTCACATAAATAGTTATAAAAAATTTGAAAAAAATTCACAAGATAGAGTAATATGAAATTTATCACTCCATAAACATGCATGTTAAAATTTAACTTTTACAATTTGTAACAAAAAAATAACAAATATAACTGCGAATGTACGATAACTATTTTTAGTTTAATTTGTTGCAACTTATAGAAGTCGAATTTGACCTTGCATGTCTGTGGAGTGATATATTTTATATTAATCTATGTTGTTAATTGTTTTTAATTTTTTTATAACTATTTAGATGACATGCAAGGAATGAGTAAGGAATGAGTAGATATTCCCTTGAGGGATAAAAAAAATCCACATCCTGAATGAACTGCTGATCAATGGATGGAGGTGGGTACCTGGGCGGTTGGGCGTAGAGGAGGTGCAAGAAAAAGAGCTTGGGGGCATGCACCTTGTCATAGCAAAGTTGGCGGAGGCGATCGGAGAAGTCGTCGCGGAGCCGGTCGTTGAGGGCGCGGTCGCACTTGACCTCGCGATTCGGACGCCGCAGTAGTGAGTTGTTGGCACTTGATGTAGGGGCGATCGACGCGCTGCGGCAGCGGGGGCGTCGACGTGACGGATGCAGCTGTCGACTGAGAAGTAGGCGTCGAGTGGTTCGTGCTGATGGAGTTCCGCTGCTGATGCGATCCCACCGTGGCGGTGCCTGCCTCCTCGCCCACCTCTGCAACCATCGTTGCGGCGGTCGAGCGTTCCAGGAGCACTAAGATGCGCAGGTTCCATGTGGGTTTTAATTTTTAACTTTTTTTTCTTTTAATGTCATATCAACGTCACGTCAGCTAAAATCCGGAACAATACTATCTTAGGACCTACAGTGATCCGGTTTTAAAACATTAGCGACGTGTTATATCCGGCATTCTGATTCAGGGAATGATTTTTAAACTCGATAACAAGATAGACATCGAGTGAACTTTTTCCTAAGATGAAACAACAGCTCAGCAAGCGAGCGAGGCTAAAACCCGCTACGCCCGGCGATCGGAGACGGGGACGCCGCGCGACTTATCGGCCGCGGTTTCCGCTCGAAATGGCGATGTGGGACAAAGAATCAGGATCCGCATGTACTGGTACGTACAGTAGTAAGCTTCAGCTCGGCGTCATTCCCGTCATCCATGGCCGGTCGACTGGTCGATCGAGCAAGCCAGGGCCGGCCAAATACAGCTATACATGCTTGTATAGTTAGCCGCTTTGTGCTGTACTTTATTACTTAATCTCTTTCCAAACCATGCGTCTCTATTAGTTAATCTCCTTCCAAACTATGTGTCCATCAGTCCATGTCATTAATTTATTGTATTTTTAGCACGTTATCATGCGGTCTATGCTTACATAGCATCCTGAATAAAAGAACTAGAATGAACTCATGGTAATTAGTGGCTTCGTATATTTATAGTCTACTAGAGAGCCTGACCAGTGACTGCGTGCGTACGTGCGCGTGGCCGTCCGGCAGGCGAGCATCGCCACAGCTAGCTGCCTGCATGCGATGATCTGATTAATCGCACGGGCCGAGAGTCCGAGAGGCTCACTCGCGAGGCCGTACATTAATTAATTCATAAACGATTAGTAATATACCCTCTGTCTCAAAAAAACCGAATCTAGGATTAGATGTGACACAATCTAGTATAATAAATATAGACAGAGGTATGTCCAGATTCATAGTACATCCAGTATTAGATTGGTTTTTTATGAGACGGAAGAAGTACATAATAAACCACATCTTCTGAGGGATCGCTGAGTGATCTATGTAGATATAAATTTAACAGTGACAATATTTTTAAAAGCTACTCCCTCCGGTTTCTTATTTGTCGACGTTTTAGGCTTGGGATTTGGGACCTGATGAGGACTGCTAATTCTTGATGCTTTAGGATCGATTAGCCTGCTGGTCATCTTAGACCTGTTTACCCCCTGCATGCATGAATTCCATTAGAACAGATCGGGCCGTCTGCCCGTCTCCAGCCATCCATCTTCAGCTAGGCTGCCACATATGCATGCATAGACCCATGGAAACAGAAATTCCTTCCGAATTCAACTGTTAGTGTTAGCCATGATTTAAATATGAGGGGGCCATGGTTACTTGGACAGGTGAAAATAATAATAATAAGCAACAAATACACACTTCAATTTTTTGATTGCACGCAAATAATTGAGAATTTTTACAGTACATATATGAGAGGTATCAAGTTTCTTTTACTGTAGATTGAAAAGCACAAAAAAAAAAGATCTTGACAAAACGAAGCAGCAAGCAAATATTCGATCTATATTGTTTATAAGTCTGATATTTTAAACAGTAAGCACTAATGATATATACTGAACTAATGAGATTAAAACCTTTTTTTGGCGGTGATTTGCAAACAAGGATTAGCGAGACAATATTTACAACAAATAACCGGCTTTAATTAGTTTGTGTGCATATAGTGCAGATTTTAAAACCAATCAGGTAGCACAACCCATGTCAGCCATATCTACCCTGGGCAAGACCAGCACACAACACACGACAGCAATCAAAATTCAGAAGGCCAAAGCCCCATAAACTTACTTCGGTTGCCTCCCTTGGTAATAGAAGGAGGGCCAATTAGCGAATTACTAAATCACATTACTTTAATCAGTAGATAGGGATATAGAATTTTCATTGGGGAGGCCTACGCTCGCCCCCCATGTGGCTAGCTCAAGTAGTCAAGTACATGATCGATTCTATTTCACCTTTTCTATTGACTGTTTCATTTGATCTTAAAATATACCGCAGCCAATTTTTTCAATTTAGTTTTCTTCCTATGATTTTAAGATATCTGCACGGATGCATTCACCATTTTAACGCAATGTGCATATGCTCATTGTGTATCTAAAATTATTTTACCCTACGTACATACAGTGAGCATATTACAATGCAGTTGTTCATGACACAGTACTTGCCAGCATCAACATATGTATGGCCTATTCGTTTTTTGAGGAATTTCAAAGTATTTAGATTTTTAATAATTAATTCATATGAATGCAATTCGGTTTATAGGAATATAAATACAGAAAAACCAAAAAAAATATTATTTTCCTATAAAATGTAGAGAGAAAATATAATTTGTTTTCTATCCACTCAAATCCTTGAAAAATTCCTGTGGATTGAAGTGTGCATGCATTCCTATTCCTCCACTTTTGCTATTTCCACGGGTTGAAATTCCTCCAAAACAAATAGGCCCCTACTAATATAAATACATTTGATTACTTAAAAAAATATGTGTTCCGTACATTGGCCGTGTAAATCTATTTAGGGTAGCGTAGAGGCTGGGTTATATAGTCCATTCTGTAAAAAAAAAATCTACTCCATATTGTACTATATATAAATAAAATGGTACACATATTCAAATACTATCATCTTGATTACTCCTTTCGGGTTAATATTATTTATCGTTTTGGATATATAAGACTTTAGGCAAACTTTAAAAACTTTGACTATAAATAACATCTAAAATATTTGTCTTATAAATATGATGACCATATGTATAGATTAGTTTTAAAAAGTACTTCAATAAAATCAAATAAGTATTATCATCAGAGGGGAATAGTAGTTTTTCTGACCTCATTATGGTAAGAACCAAGATCAACGACATTCACATAACATAAAATGAAGCTAAAAGTGTCATCAAGGTTACATATAACGATAAAATTAGGGGACTTCATGAAACTGCACGAACAATTTTGCATGAGCATCTAATTAAATTAAATCAGCAAATGCATGCATGCGGTAAGCTGGAAATGAGAACACACGACTGATTGAATAAGTTAAACTCTATGCAAGAGAAATGAGAGGATTTCAAAGATTCTAAGTAACATCAGATTGAAGAATTATGTCTGGTATAAATAAAAATATACTTCATACCAATGTACAAATGATTTTCTGAACAACTTAAAGTGAGGAACCAGCACGCAAATATATAATCTGAAGCCTGAACTATATCATAGTTCTCCACTAATTCCAAGTGGAAAAATCTGAATACAATTTTACTTCAATACACAAGCTTTTGTGATAATGAAGAAACATTTTGTGACCCTAAAGAAAATTCTAATTAAACCAAATGTTCATTGATTGTTCTAAAAATAATAATTTTGCTCAAAAAAATGTTCTGTGGTTTTGTAGTACTATACCAGTTTCAAGCAGCTGCTTATATATATATATATATATATATATATATATATATATATATATATATATGTAAGAGAGTTTGATTTTTTTTCTGAAAATTGAAAAGAGTTTAATTTGTAAGAGTAAAGACATGTACTACTAGCTACTTCCTATGCATAGAGTTAGTACATCATATATTTCCGACAGGCACAAGATCAATGTTGATGCATTTCCTTATATCTTACTATTCAAGCTAGATGGGAAGAATAAGCTATCCAAATGTATGGATCATTTGCGTGACCTGGATACAGAAAACCTGTCATTTGGTCTATTCCTTCTTTGCTTCGTTGATGTAGTAGTGGCCTTTCTTTGCTGTAAGTTTGGTATGACGTCATGCATATCCACATATTGCACACAACGCTTCCTTTTCTCTGGATAAATATATATTGAAAGGTTATGCACAATTAGACCCTTTAGTGCCAATGCGCGGCCAGTAATAACAATAATATCAAAATGTGAATAGAGAATAAATTAACTAACTGTTTTCAGCTTCCTGGTAGGCATCATTTAGCTTGCGCTTCGTTGCCTCTAGTCGCAAATCAGCTATGTCGGTGTTGTTTCTCTTCCCTATACCTACCTTGCAGCCTTCTAATATTGTTGCTTGCCTTTCCAACTTCTGAAACCAAATCACACGACTATTAAAGCCTTTCGAAGAATCACAACAAAGTAGTGATTAAAATATTAAATATGAACTTACACTCACATGATCAGGGAGTGGCTTTCTGACAACAGCAATAGGACGTTGTTCTGTTATGGCTATAGCATGATGTTGAGCCTGTTTTGGTTTCGTGCCAAGACCATATTTATTCTGGGTTTCTTCACTAAATTGACTCCTTGATGTGTATTGACTATGTGTGGGTTTATTAGGCTTGGTTGTTACTATAGAAAACCGAGAGGCCGGCTTGATATGTAATCTCGGCCCTTGTGTTTTTCCTAGTTGTAGGTTTGTTTGTCTTAACGGTGGGGTTTGTTTTGTTGGTAAACCATGGATTTTGGAGATAGTATTTACATTAGGATCTACCAGTTTCATCTGTAGATTTGCTTGCCTCATTGGAGGACCATGTTGTCTTGATAAATCTTTCCCCTTGCGCAATATGTTTTCATCCATATTTGCTACAGGTTTTGCAATCTCCATCTTGTACCCGCCAAAACCACAATCATTTTTAGCATTGGGTATTAGACCTATTACATGATATGCAAATCCTATTAATCAATGAAACATAATATACTTTACAAAGGTTTGCTAGTGATAATTGTTGTACTCACTTTCGTCATCATCATCATCCGCTTTATGTAAAAACTTCATGTAGTGGCAATAAAAGAAAATGGAAAGCAACAAAAAATTGATTAGCGTCTTGTTCAAGAGCAAGATTATCAACATCATTCATCAATATGGAACAATTAGTTGACAAATTATAGCTGCGTTAAAATGCACTATAGCTAAAAAAGAAGCATTTAATTTACATGTAAAATTACCTCAGATACATATTGCTCGGCAGCGGACTGGGGCAAAAAGAACGCTCCCACATCCATTGGTGGAGTTGGAAGGCCGAAGTCATCTTCCACGGTAGATGGATTTGATATGTCTGGAGAAGTGTCTGCAAATTAATAACAAATACAATATTATTCAGTTGTGTTGGGGATGCAAACCATTTCCATTACCTAAATGATATTATTTAGTAGTGTAAGAAACATAATTAATGGTTTAGAAAATGTTGAGACACAACACAAGAGAACTGAAGTCACCTAGCTAGTTTACCTGCATTTGCAGAAGAAGGTCCTACCCAGTCAGCAGCTACTCCTTTCCAGCCTCTGAATCACAGCAAATATGCAAGCAAGTAGGTCCAGGTGAAACACAGGGTAGCACCGAATGGGAACTTCAGTAGACATCACTAGCTTTATGAACATATAAAATGCTAGCTAGCTAGGAATAGTTAGCACAGTTGCACAGCGCGCGCGCGCGCGCGCGCGCGCGCGCGCGCGCACACACACACACACACACACACACACACACACACATATATATATATATATATATATATATATATATATATATATTAAATTTGTTTTGTGCTCCATGGTGTCCGGGCTCTATGATTCAAATTAAGTATATACCCAATTCAAATGAGTATGAAACTTTTTTAAATGTTTAGGTATTAACATTAACTACTTTACTAACTAGTTCAAAACAAGTTTGAACTGAATTTAAACATGTTTTTATTAGAATTTGATTCTAGGTATATAGCATCCAAACATATAATTAGTTAGGTATATAATATTGGATTGTGAAATAAAGTTAAATTTGAGTTGTTTTGTTGCTAGCTATAGGTATGAATCGAATACATATAACTAGGTATATACTCAGAATTTGAAAATTTTGAAAAATTTGGACGAATTTGTGTATTTCATACCATGGTGCCCCATATGAGTGTCATACACACACACACGAACAATTGAACTGTGTAATATGTGAAAATTTAAAAAAGAATGATTTTATGGTGGCTGTAAAAGTAATCTGATCAAGCACCATAATTTTGAATGTAAATTTCTGTAGTACCAAATTTAGATTAAAATCGTGCTACTTCCATATTACTACCTAGCTTCTCAAGTACCATAGAAGTTTTCTTCTAAAATATTCGAGATATTGCTAATCATCCTGCATACTCAAGCCAATCGCCCTTTTCTTTCTTTTAAAAAAGGATAATATTACCTCAGGTTCTATTGAAAGTTGAATATATGAGTTTAGCAAATGCATCACAGCGACTGTCATTTTCTAAAAAAAATCACAGAGGCTGGTGTTAGCAGTTTCATGGTGGAGCTCAGTAGCTCATAGAACTCAAAACCTTTTTCTTTCGACAATAGAATCCAATCTCGCCTTTACATCATCGAAGATGAAAACAAAAGCTCAATCTTACTACCAAAAGCTAAACCATTATATGCTAATCGCACAATCACAGGACATTGCCACACAAGAGTTTGTATTTACTATTGAGAGGAGTTGAGAATTAATCTACATAGTAAGGTTCCTTAATTTTACATCTCTAAACAGTAAACACAACCTAGTGAAGGAGAAGATTAATAAATAGCTAGCCCTAGCCTCCATGTCATGTATATATACACAGGTCGCAGACATTACATATACTTAGCCATTCTGTTATTTTGGCAGTTGCACAAGTATATATAAACATCAAACTGGAATTAATTAACTAATAGTGCAGCGAACTTACTTGGCGAGATCACGTGCTATTTTGCATATTACCGGTGACCTATGCTTGTTCAACGGAGCAACAGCTTCTGCAATCTGAGTACTCTGCAAGAAATATAATCGGTGGTTCAAATTCTAATATCAGTAGAGCAAACGAAAAATAATGCTCATTTGATCTTGATGCCTTGATAACACTGCTTTAATTCATAAAAAAAAATATCTTCATTTCGTTGCACTACGTACTACCTTCAGCACCGAGATAGACAGCCGCATCAGCTGCAGCCTCCTCAGACCGTCGAACAAAGTGTCAACCGACTGCAAATGGTCACAGAAATGAAGGTATAATTAATTAATCAATCAGTGATATACTCTAAGAACATCCTCAATGCTATGTAATGAGTACAGCACTGGATGGTTAATGGATGAAAAGTTTTGTTCTTTTCAATTTCGTTTCGTCTGGCTGATCAAGTGATGAACAAGAAATATATAAATAGATCACCTGCTCCTTGTAGTTGATGAGGATATCCTTGATGCGGAGCACCTCGTTGATCACCTGCGTATCCTCCTCGATCTCGTCGTAGAGAGCCTCGAGTATCTGCTGATCGATCAGCGAGGTTTGTGCCTCGGCGGCGGCGAAGTTGCCATCGTTGTCATCATGGTGATGGCCACCTCCGTCGGGGATGGCTGCTGGTGGTAGGCGATTTCCGGCGCCGTCGACGACCCTGCCGCAGGCGAGCGGCGCCGGCACCGGCACCGTCACCGGCGCGACGGCGAACAGCCACTCGATGATGCCTTGGCGGCGGCGGAGCAGCTCCCGCGGCGAGTCGGCGCCGGCGATGAGGATGGCGTTGCGGATCACGTCGTAGATGTCGGCGCCCCGGAACATCTCGCGCCACCTCTCCATGCCGCTTCCGGCGCCGCCGCCCTCCATTCCGGACGAGCTAGAGAGATCCTCGCGTCTACGACCTCCGAGCTCAGGCGGCCCGGCGCCGGCGGAGATCCCGAGCTAGCTCCTAGCTTGCTCTCCTCAAAACCTTACCCAACCCTAGAAAATCAAGAACCGGACGATCACGATCCCCCAAAAAATCAAGATCCCAAGCAAACCAAGCAGCAAAGAACAGCGAGAGGATCGTAGCTAGCAAGCCAAGATCGAGCCCAAGATCCAAACCCCCTAGAGCTCTCGATCTCCCGTTCCCCCAAGAACCCCCCAACACCACCCACGCAGTCGCTGCGACCCCTAAGCACCTAACAAATCGCGAGCTAATCACTCTAGCTCACGTTTCCCTCGATCTCGCCCTCGCCGCTAGTGAAACGGAAGGGAATTAGGAGGAAGAGGACGCGCGCCTCAGAAAGCAAGCGACCTGATGAAAAATAAAAAAAGAAGAATAACGGCGCCTCGATCTCCGCGTGGTTGGATAGGCAGATAGCGACACCCCTACTCGACACACGGGTCACGAGACAAGCACGCGCGCGGCACGCACCTGTGGGATGAGGACGATGGGCGACGGCGACGGCGACGGAGGCGGTGACTACTCTAAGCTGCACGCTCTCGCCGGCCGGCGGTCGGAGAGACGGGCACACGGCGGTGGCGGCGGCGCGCGGGGGAGGGGGGGAGATGGGCGGGGGCGCGTTTGGTTTCGTTTTGGATTTTGGCGCTGCGTTGAATTTGCAAAAGACGATGTGCTGTGGGCTGTGGCGTGGGGTGTGGTGGTGTCGTGATGATGCAAGAATTTAATGCGGCTCTATGACGCGGCTGGCTTGGCTATGAATGGAATGGACGGCAAAGACAGGGTTTCGGGGGAAGTTTTCACTTTGGCCCCTCAAGTTACTGCTATTTGAATCGAAAGATATACTTCATCCTTTTTTAAAATATTGTAAGTTTTGGTCTTTGATATGGTTGTAAAATAGAGGGGGTAAAATGATTTGATTCACTTCTCAGGGTGGGTGAGATATATGGCTGGACTAATTAAGGATATAATAAAGACAAGGAATGGTAGGGGGCAGTATGATGGGTATTTTGGGGCTAAAATTCACCTTTTACAAATATGAGGTTGCTATATTTGGGATAAATTTTAAAGGTCAAAAGCTATTACATTTTGCAAAGGAGTGATGAGGGCTACTCCCTCCGTTTCACAATGTAAGTCATTTTAGCATTTTTCACATTCATATTGATGTTAATGAATCTAGACATATATATCTATCTAGATTCATTAACATCAATATGAATGTGGGAAATACTAGAATGACTTAAATTGTAAAACGGAGGAAGTACTATATATCCGAATACCGTTGCAACGGTATAGCACGTCATCTGCATACCGACCGCGCTTCGCACGATGTGTGCTTTGCCTGAGCGCGCGTGGACTGGGTGAAATACTCGAACTCGAGGGGGAAAGCTGTGTTGGTGGGGAGAGCCGGATCCGGCGCCTGCCTCCCCACCGGCAGCGGCGGCGATGCTCGGGAGGGCTCTCGGCGATGCTCGGGATGCGGCCATGCTCGGGAGGCCTGCCTCCCCACCGGCAGCGGCTGTTAGAGTCGGCTCAGGGAGGTGGCGGCGGCGCGGGGAAGGGAGCGGCGGATCCGGCAGCTGTGTTGGTGGGGAGAGCCGGATCCGGCGCCTGCCTCCCCACTGGCGGCGACGGCGGCGATGCTAGGGAGGGCTCTCGGCGATGCTCGGGAGGCCTGCCTCCCCACCGGTGGCGGTTCTCGGAGTCGGCTCAGGGAGGGGGCGGTGGCACAGGGGAGGGGGCGGCGGATCCGGCGGCTGTGTTGGTGGGGAGAGCCGGATCCGGCGCCTGCCTCCCTACCGGTGGCGGCGGCGGCTCTTGGCGTTCGCGCGGTGGGTGGGGATGGATCCGACGGCGTTCGCGTTCATCTCTCGACGACAGTGACGAAGATTGAGTGGATTTGTTTCTGTGATGTAAATTGTGATGACATTTGGATTTGTTAACTGTGCTTGATTTGTGGATTTGTTAACTGTGATTTGTGATGCAAATTTAAATTGTGGATTTGGGAATAAATTTTTCTGTGGTTTTTGGGTGTGGATTTTTGGGGGCGGCAGGGGTAGGTGGCGGCAGTGCCACCGCCTGCAACTAGGGTTTGTTTTTTTGGAATTTTATTTTTTATGTGATTTTTTTCTCATCCGTGACGGGCCTACAATTTAGGCCCGATTGAGATTAGAGTCATCCGTGACGGGCTATAGTTTAGGCCCGTTTGAGATGAGAGTCATCCGTGACGGGCTTTTATGTTAGCCCGATTGAGATATGTGTCATTCGTGACGGCCGGATGCCCGATTGAGATATTTTACCACATCACTGACCTTTGCTCTGTGATGGGGGTTCTACCCGATAGAGATGAGGCTTGCCGCCCGTTACAGATGGCCAAACCTGTGCTAATGGGTAAACGGGGTGCTAGAGATGACGATGACATTGTGGATCATGTCATAGATGTCAGCATTGCAAAACATCTTTTGTCACCTCTCCATGCTGTTGTTGTCCTCCATATGGATTCAGATCCCCACCCTCGACAATATCCTCATCGCCAAATCTCCGAGTTCTGGCGGATGATTATTTCTGCCGGGCACCCGGCACCGGCGGAGATCATAAACTTGCTCTCCTCGAAACCCTACCTACCCAACAAAATCAACAACCAGATCAATGATCCCCCTCTTAAAAAAAATCATGATCATGCAAACGACCCAACAATAAGATGGGAGCATGTAATACCCCGAATTTCGAATTAGTATATTTCGGGGAATATTAGAACAAACGCGCAAAACATTAAATTTTAAACCATTGTTCGATTAGGCGATCAGGAACCGTGGGCGCGTAGAGCTCGCCGAGTAATGCAAAATAGACTATAAGTTTGACGTTCGATCTTCATTAGTCTTTCTCTATTTAACCAACAAAAGAAAAAAAGAAAGGAAAAAAAGTATCGCTAGCAGCTAGGGCTAGATGATGAGCCAGCTCGGCTCGGCTCGGTCGAGCTCGTTAAGATAACAAGCTGGCTCGGCTCGGCTCATTATCCTAACGAGCTAGAAGCCTAGATCGGCTCGACTCGTTTGAAAGCTCGAGCTAGCTCGTTTGGCTCGCGAGCCAAGGGGAAAGAGAGAAGGGAGCTCGACGACGGAGGGGATGAGCTTGACCTCGTCGGCACTGCGAGCCCGAGGAGGAGCTCAACGACGAAGGAGATGAACTCGGGCTCGCCAACGACCATGGGGAGGATCTCGACGGTGGAGGGGACGAGCTCAAACCTCGCCAGTACTTGGGCCACGCAAAGGAGCTTGGTGGCGGAAGCCTCAAGCCTCCCGGCGACGGGCCTCCGCTCCACTCTGGCAGAAGCTGGCCTTTATTAAGTGCAAATGAATTTGGATCACAACTCAACAAACTCCACCTTGAAACAAATTCTTTCTTGTAGCATTGAACAATCCTTCACCCTGAACACAACAAAGACAAAAAACACTTTCGGCGCCAAATAGCCTCTTGGGCTAAACCACTATACCAACTAAGCTTGAGAAAAGCTCAAACTTAGCAACAGGAACAGACTTCGTCATCATATCAGCAGAATTATCATGAGTACTTATCTTGCATACCTTTAGCTTACCTTGCGCGACTACATCGCGAACATAATGGTACTTGATGTCAATGTGCTTTGTCCTCTCATGAAACATCTGATCTTTAGTGAGGCATATAGCACTTTGACTGTCACAAAACAAGTTAATTCAGGAATCAACTCCACAAAGCTCAGCAAACAATCCTTTTAGCCAAACTGATTCTTTGCATGCTTCAGCAGTAGCCATGTATTCTGCTTCAGTGGTAGACTGGGAAACAACAGGCTGCAATGTTGCCTTCCAACTCACAGCACAACTATCAATGGGAAACACATAACCTGTGAGTGACCTTCTCCTATCCAAATCTGCAGCAGAATCTGAATCCACATATCCAACAAGCTCCTTATCAGTCCTGCCAAACTTCAAGAAAGCATCAGCTATGCCCCTGAGGTACCTGAAAATCCACTGAACAGCTTTCTAGTGTTCTTTACCAGGATTAGCCATGTATCTACTAACCAAACTCATAGCATGAGATAAATCTGGACGGGAGCAAACCATGGCATACATCAAAGAACCAACATCACTAGAATATGGAACTCTAGACATGTATTCTACATCCTCATCAGTACTAGCACATTGTAAAGCTGATAATTTAAAATGAGGTGCAATAGGAGTACTAACAGGCTTTGCATCATGCATGTTAAAATGCTGAAGAACCTTCTTAATGTAACTTTGCTGACTAAGAAATAACAAAACAGAATTTCTATCTCTAGTGATTTCCATACCTAGAATTTCCTTAGCAGCACCAAGATCCTTCATATCAAACTCACTACTCAACTGTTTTTTCAATGTAGTGATTTGTTCCTTGCTCTTGTCAGCAATCAGCATGTCATCAACATATAACAACAAGTATATAGGTGATCCATTAACAAATTTAATATACACACAGATATCAAATTCAGACCTCTTAAAGCCATGTGACAACATAAATGAATCTCCGCTCCACTACGGCAGAAGCTGGCCTTTATTAAGTGCAAATGAATTTGGATCACAACTCAACAAACTCCACCTTGAGACAAATTCCTTCTTGTAGCTTGAAACAATCCTTCACCCTGAACACAACAAAGACAAAAAACACTTTTGACGCCAAATAGCCTCTTGGGCTAAAACACTATACCGCTACGCTCCGGCCCAAGCCTCCCGGCGACGGGCCTCCGCTCCACTACGGCAAAAGCTGGACTTTATTAAGTGCAAATGAATTTAGATCGCAACTGAACAGTTCATCTTCCTCTACTCATGTTAATGTATTCTCTTGCTATGTCCTTCGGTTCGGCCAATGAGTACGAACCAAGGAGTTATGTTCTTGCCATGTTTATAGGCTT